GTTTGCTACTCTTGGGTCTGGCTGATCTGTGCCTGAAGTTGTACAGGAATTGATTTTCTTCTTGTAGCTTTATTCTGTGCACTGTACAACCTCTGATATCTGTGGCTGTATGCCTGCATTTAACAGATGCAAGAGCAGAATCAGGGCTTCATTTGCATGTACACCTAGGTTTGACTTGGAAATTATATCACTTTTTGTATGAATAGTGCTATTCAAAAGTAAATTAGATGGCATTTACTGCATACAAGTTCCTATAATGAATTGTAATGCAGAGCTTGTGACATCATAATAATTTCCATAACAATCCAGTGACATTATCATTTCACAGCAAGATAGAACTGACTAAAATGAAAGTAGAAAAGAGAGAGACCTTATTTAAACACGAATCCTCCTATACTGATTTAGAGGAGGAGGAAGAAAAAATGTGCAAGGGTTGAATGTACGATTGTAGGTCACACTACTAAATTCACTAATCCTGCTGCCATCCTACTATTTCAGAACTGCTCAACATTCATCTAATCAGTCAGTTTGCCATAACAACAGCTCAGGTTGGTTAATTAACCTATGGGCTCTCAGGGAGGAACAGGAGAGAACATGTTGTCCATACCTGGACCACTGGGTGGCTTAGGGGCCAAACTACACAGTGGTTAACTGCAAAACAAACTGAATTAACCACTAAGTTATTTAGACCCAGCAGTCCAGGTTTGGGCAACATGCTAAGCAACCTTATTTGTTTGCTTGTTTATTGGCTTTTTAGCCCACCCCATTAGCCACACAGCACCTTAGTGAGTCACCTGATGGAACTCAGAACCAAAGCCTGTCAATATACATTTGCTCCTATAGCCTAAGTAGTGCAGAAACATTTTAGAGAACCAAATTGTGATGACAGCAGCTCCACAGACCACCTGCTGGCAGACCCATCTTTGCTGCCAAATAATACTCATAAAACAGCCCTTGCTCCTGTTACAAATTCTATGTAATAAACACAACAATCTATGCTTATTAATTCAAAGTGTTTGCCAACACATTTTCAAAGAGTAATGTATGAGGCATCTGCCATTCGCTGTGCAGTGTAAGTCAAAAATAAGGAATTGTAACAGGAACTCTTAGTTCAAGGAATATGGAATTTGAAGTGGAAATAAGTGACTGACCTGTGCAGTGCACATATGCATGCTCCCCATTTGATTACTGTGGTATGCTGAATTGTCAGAGAGCCAATGTAAGCATCACAAGACGTAATGCAGTCAGTTCATATATTTGGCTGCCAATCATCTGGCTTTAATGAAATACTTTAATGAAATAATGAGCCAGTGTGGTGTAGTGGTTAAGAGCATGGGACTGGGACTCAAACGATCTGGGTTCTAGTCCCCGCTCAGCCATGGAGCCAACTGGGTGACTCTGGTCCAGTCACAGACTCTCAGCCCAACCTACCTCACAGGGTTGATGTTGTGGGGAAAAGATGGAGGAGGAGAATGATGTAAGCTGCCTTGAGCCCTTGTAGGAAAAAGGCAGGATATAAATTGATAAATAAATAAATAAATAAAATAAAAAATACCACCACTGCCACCACAGTTTCATAGCCATGCCTACAGGCTGTGAGAGGGTGTTTCATGGATTTGAGGAGGAATAGACCAAAATTTGGAAGGAAAGTTCATTGCCATTTTCTGGAACTCCTCCTTCCCACTGCCAACTGATAGATGCTACCCCTTCCATCTCTCAAGGATTGCTGTGTGATGAAGTCGGATTTCTCTGACTGTAATTTTTGTGGGGCAGATATGGTGGCTGCCACTGGAAGTTGCCATTTGCCCTTAGACGCTCCCATAAAAGCAGCACTGTTGTTCTGGAGTTTAGGGATAGACTAGCAATTGCCAGGTAGCCAGCAGGAAGACATCTAGTCATCAGCGGTGAGTTTTCCCTGCCCCAAGTTCATCCTTCCTACATGGTCATCTCCACCTCCAAAGTCTGCTAGGAGGATTTTGTCTCCTTTCATACTCTGGAACTGAAGTAGGCAATTCTTCTTTGGAGAACTTTCAAATCATGCTTAAATATAATTAAGTATAACTAAATCAAATAATATACAAGCATTAAAGCAAACCTAATTTTAATATCTCTCTCTCTCTCTCTCTCTCTCTCTCTCTCTCTCTCTCTCTCTCTCTCTCTCTCTCTCTCTCTCTCTCTCAGATATATTCATACACACACACACACACACACACACAGGTGACCATGCTGGCTGAGAACAATGAGAGTTGTAACCCAGCACATCACACTGAGGAAGGCTGGTGTACTGTACCTTAACCATATGCAGAAGCTAGAGTGGGGGGAAACTGAATTTATGTAATTTGTAGAAGTCAGGAGAGCCTTTTCAGTTTGTGGTTTACTTTATTTAAAAAATGAATGACTTTTCAAATTAACATGTCCTGAATTAATTAGTGGTTTGCAGTGACAGTATTATGCTTTGCTAAAATAAGTAAGTAAGTAAGTAAATAAATAAATAAATAATATCTGGAGGAGTTAATTGTTCTCTTTTGACATTTAGATTTAAATATGAGCCCTTACAGAGAGGCTTAAATTAAATTATGTTCTGAATAGTTTGCACATCTTTGTTGAAGAATTTGACAAAGGATATTTGAGTGGAAACAACAGAACACATAGATTAAGTATCCTTAGTAACCTGGTGAGTTTTATTCTGGCTTAATGCTTCACGCTAGCTGCATCTTTTTCAAGCATATGCTTCAAATAATGCACAACAGAGTAGTTATGTGAAGATAAGTTATTCTAATTGCTTACTCTTAGTTCCTGCCATTATGTTTAACATTTACCACTGAAAATAAATTTACTCTTCAGTTTTGCCTTGAGGAAAAGTGCTTTCGAGTGAGCTGTAGGCACCCATTTTCTCTGACCCCTTCTCTCATATCAACCTCTGTTGTTATGTTGGCCCACTTTGCACACTGATCTGAGTTTGCATGACGTGAATATGCACGCTGGGTAAGAAGACTTAGTGGCTTGTCATGTTGTCCACTTCATACAGAGTTGTTCCCCCACCACCCACCCAAACAAGCCTCCCTGAGAATCCATGGTGGATTGTCATGTGGTATGAACTTGGGTGTCTGGTCTTACCAATCATACAGGGAAGAAGGGAACAAGGCACTAAGCAAAAGCAAAAAAACCTTGCTGTTTATAACAAGGGCTAGCTTACGCTGCAACTGGTGGCAGCCCCTCCCACGTATCCAAGAAGCATAATGGAGGGGTTGTCACTCATTTACCATACCATTAAAACTGTACCACAAATGTATACAACTTTATGTTGGAATTTTTAAATAAATATTTTCAGTTGGACTTGTGCAACTGTGGATGTGTGTACTTTTACAGCTCCAGAAAAAGGAACTGTCACCTGGGCAATGTCCATGGGGGTACCTGTTGTACAAATGGCTGCTTATGTTTCTGTCAAAAACACTCATTACCTGTCAAAACTCTGTTTTAAAGGGGACACTGAGTTTTGACAGTGTCAGACTCTTTTTCTTCAGATACACTTTTGCACTTTCCAGACAATGTTAGGCAACCAAAGGACCTGCGGGGCACTGAGATTTCAGCACAACCCTTTCTGTAAGCAAAGAACTCCCATACCTCTGCTTTCCCTTGACACCTCACCTTTTCACAGCTATCAGGAGAAAGCAAAGAAAAAGGAGAGCCCTATCTGGGGCCTTTGTAAGTTACTCTCCTGCTACACTTTGGCAGTAGAGACACAAATGAGGGATTGCCCAGCTGAAGCTTCCTATCTGGACATTCATGGAACTGCACACCTCTGTGAATGCACATGCAGGCCAAAAATATTTGTTTAAAAATGAAAATGGTTGTACATATTGTTTGCAAAGAAAGAAAACATTTTTCCCAACCACTGGCAACCCCTCTGTGGCTATCAGTGGATGTCAAAACAGGAATCACATAAACTCGCTGCCAAGCAGGAGATTGCGATCTCAAAAAACCGAACCAAACTGAACTGAACCAAACCTAACCAAACCAAACCCAGATTAAAGGAACAAAATGGCAAATAAGGCTTGGAGTGACCACAATGGGAAGCAGCCAAGTGGGTCCTGTTCTGAAGTCCCTCAAAATACATGCAGGACAATTGCAGGGAAAGGAGGGAGGGAGGGCCAAACAACTCCACAGCGAACCAGAGCATTTGTCAGGCAGACTTTGGGAGATTCATACATCATACTTTAATACCAGGGGTGGGGTGGGGTGGGGTGGGGTGGGATGACATGCAAATGTGCCTGTCATCACATTTGACAGGCACATTTGTGAATGAGCCAACATAATCACTTCCCCTTTGGTTCCTGTCAGTAGGAGCAGCTAAACAACTCAAGGTGTTTCCATTCCTGGTCTTCACTCTGGATAAAGTCAAGCCAGAGGTCTGGGTTTGGACATCACACTAAGCAACAGGGATGGAGTGAGGCTTTATTGTTTAACCAATGCTAACGAAAGCAGGGTAACAAAAGCACATGAAGTAGATGCTAGCTTATTAATGACAATCCTGAGTTGGCATGATGTGCAAACTAGACCACTACTTGGTACCATATGGAAAGACAAGAACAAACATCAATGTCTGAAGCACAGGTCTATTGTTATGGAGTGGGGTGTTATGGAGAGGGTATGGAATGGGTGCCATTTCTCCACACCGTCTGCCCAACCCTGCTCCTGTAATGTAGGAATGTACAAACCAAGTGGGAGGAGTGACCTTAGAAGAGCCAGCCCTTTAGAAGTTTTGGCACGATTCTTCCATGTGATCATACAAACCCATAAGTTGCATAATTGCTTTATTATTTAGGCAGTTTAGGATGAAGACATGGCAGAAGCAACTATGCCATTCCAGGTCTTTGGTACATTGAATTAAAAATATGTATTTTTGACTGAGGGTTTTCATTATTGCCTGTAAAAGGTAGGCTAGACTATTTGATTTAAGCTCCTTTGTTGATAAAAACTCTGGATTTGTTTATTTACAGATAACAGAAGTTTAATAATAGGGCTACTCATAACCACCCTGTGCCTTCTAGTTGCTGGTTTACTTATGTACATCAAAAGAAAGATCTTGATTAGACTATTTTTTATAAATAAGAAGACTACAATAGAGAAACTAAGGTAAGATATATAACTACCATCTTTTTTAAAATACAAATTGATAGGAAATGCAATTAATCATAATTCATTAAGGATGAGCATTTTGCCTACATTTTGTTTTTGTTTTTTCTTTTAATGTTATTCTTTAAAAGTAAATTTTCAATTTTGTCCTGTGTGTAAGAAAAGAAGAGAAATGGAAAGCCATCATCACTGATGTGTTCTCTAAAACAGAAATATCAGGAAGAGGTTGTAGGAAGCAAACGCACAGCTAACAGAGTGGACAATCTCAACAACATACTCCAAACTACAGTGACCTGATTTGCACAGAACTATCTCAGGGTTAATTAACCCAGGAATTGTCAGGACCAAGGGACAACAAGCAAACATGCTACTTCTCATGTATTATTCTTTTCATCACTTCTTTTCAGTCAACCCAGAATTAATCTAATGACAAACCATCAGAGACTGCTGGGTTAGTTCCAGGTTGTCTGTCATCTAAATAACCCAGAATTCCAGGCATTAATATCATAACAACAATCCAGGAATGGAATGTTCTTGGATTCTTGATTGAAAGTGGGAGTGTTCGGGGGTGCAGCATGTTCATTCACTCCCACTAGATAGTGACAATTCTTGGGTTAAACAACCCAGGAATTGTTATTATGTGCAATCTGGGTCAGAATGTTTGACCATTGTGCCTTTATTTATTGTGTTTTGATACCCCTGCTTTACTGAGATATTTTGATTTTAATTGTAGTAAGCTACCTTACCCCTTCATGGATCACTGCCTTGTCGTGGCGAAGGGGCTTGCGTAGCTCAATGAAGCTATGAGCTATGCCGTGCAGGGCCACCCAAGACGGACAGGTCATAGCAGAGAGCTCTGACAAAACGTGATCCACTGGAGAAGGAAATGGCAACCCACTCCGGTATCTTTGCCATGAAAACCCCATGGACAGTACCAAAGGGCAAAAAGATATGACGCCGGAAGATGAGCCCCTCAGGTCGGAAAGTGTCCAATATGCTACTGGGGAAGAGCAGAGGGCTAGTACTAGTAGTGCCAGAAAGAATGAAGCGACTGGGTCAAAGCCGAATGGAAACTCAGTTGCAGATGTATCTGGTGATGAAAGGAAAGTCCAATGCTGCAAAGATCTATACTCCATAGGAACCTGGAATGTAAGATCCATGAATCAAGGCAAGCTGGATGTGGTCAAACAAGAGATGACAAGACTGAACATCGACATCTTAGGAATTCGTGAACTAAAATGGACAGGAATGGGTGAATTTAATTCAGATGACCATCAGGTATACTACTGCGGGCAGAATCCATCAGAAGAAATGGAGTAGCCTTCATAGTCAATAAAAGAGTAGGAAAAGCAGTACTGGGATACAATCTCCAAAATGACAGAATGATCTCAGTTCGAATCCAAGGCAAACCATTCAACATCACAGTAGTCCAAGTCTATGCCCCAACCACTGGTGCTGAAGAGGCTGAAGTTGACCGGTTCTATGAAGGCCTACAGCACCTTCTAGAATTAACACCAAAAAATGATGTCCTTATCATCATGGGGGATTGGAATGCTAAAGTAGAAAGCCAAAAGATAACCGGAATAACAGGCAAGTTTCGCCTTGGAGTATAAAATGAAGCAGGGCACAAGCTGGTAGAATTTTGTCAAGAGAATACGATGGTCATGGCAAACATTCTTTTCCAACAACCTAAGAGACGACTCTGCGCATGGACATCACCAGACGGCCAACACAGAAATCAGATTGACTATGTGCTCTGCAGCCAAAGATGGAGAAGCTCAATACAGTCAGTAAAAACTAGACCAGCAGCTGACTGTGGCTCAGATCATGAGCTTCTGGTTGCAAAATTTAGGCTTAAGTTGAAGAAAGTAGGGAAAAGCACTAGGCCAATCAGGTATGACCTAAATCATATTCCTAATGAATATACAGTAGAGGTGACAAATAGATTTAAGGAATTAGATCTGATAGACAGAGTGCCTGAAGACCTAGGGATGGAGGTTCGCAACATTGTACAAGAGGTAGCAACTAAAACCATCCCAAAGAAAAAGAAATGCAAGAAAGCAAAATGGCTGTCTGAGGAAGCTTTACAAATAGCTGAGGAAAGAAGGGAGGCGAAAGGCAAGGGAGAAAGAGAAAGATACACCCAACTGAATGCAGAATTCCAGAGAATAGCTAGAAGAGATAAGAATGCCTTCTTAAATGAACAGTGCAAAGAAATAGAAGAAAACAATAGAATACGGAGGACCAGAGATCTCTTCAAGAAAATTGGAGATATGAAGGGAATGTTTCATGCAAAGATGGGCATGATAAAGGACCAAAATGGCAGGGATCTAACAGAGGCAGAAGAGATTTAGAAGAGTTGGCAAGATTATACAGAAGAACTATACAAGAAAGAGCTTAACATCCCTGATAACCATGATGGGGTAGTCACTGACCTCGAGCCAGACATCCTGGAATGTGAAGTCAAATGATGATGCAGTAAAAGTGCTACACTCAATATGCCAGCAAAGTTGGAAAACTCAACAGTGGCCACAGGATTGGAAAAGGTCAGTTTACATTCTGATCCCAAAGAAAGGCAACACCAAAGAATGTTCAAACTACCGCACCATTGCACTCATTTCACATGCTAGCAAAGTGATGCTCAAAATCCTTCAGGATAGGCTCCAGCAGTATGTGGACCAAGAACTACCAGAAGTACAGACAAGATTTCAAAGAGGGAGAGGAACCAGAGATCAAATTGCCAACATACGCTGGATCATGGAGAAAGCTAGGGAGTTCCAGAAAAACATCTACTTCTGCTTCATTGACTACGCTAAAGCCTTTGATTGTGTGGATCACAACAAATTGTGGCAAGTTCTTAAAGAGATGGGAGTACCAGACCATCTTACTTGTCTCTTGAGAAACCTATATGCGGGTCAAGAAGCAACAGTGAGAACTGGACACAGAATCATTGATTGGTTCAAAATTGAGAAAGGAGTTCAGCAAGGCTGTATACTGTCGCCCTGCCTATTTAACTTATATGCAGAGCACATCATGAGAAAGGCGGGGCTAGATGAATCCCAGGTTGGAATTAAGATTGCTGGGAGAAACATCAACAGCCTCAGATATGCAGATGATACCACTCTCATGGCAGAAAGTGAAGAGGAACTAAAGAGCCTCTTGATGCGGGTGAAGGAGGAGAGTGCAATAGTTGGCCTGAAACTCAACATTAAGAAAACTAAGATCATGGCATCCGGCCCTCTCACTTCCTGGCAAATAGATGGGGAAGAAATGGAGGTAATGACAGATTTTATTTTCCTGGGTTCCCAGATCACCGCAGATGGGTACTGCAGCCAAGAAATTAAAAGACGCTTGCTCCTGGGGAGGAAAGCTATGGCAAATCTAGACAGCATACTAAAAAGCATCACCCTGCCAACAAAAGTGCATATAGTCAAGGCTATGGTTTTCCCAGTTGCAATGTATGGCTGTGAAAGTTGGACCATAAGGAAGGCTGAGCGCTGAAGGATTGAGGCCTTTGAATTGTGGTGCTGGAGGAGACTCCTGCGAGTCCCTTGGACTGCAAAGTGATCAAACTGGTCAGTCCTTGAGGAGATCAACCCTGACTGCTCTTTAGAAGGCCAGATCCTGAACATGAAACTCAAATACTTTGGCCACCTAATGAGAAGGAAGGACTCCCTGGGGAAGACCCTAATGCTGGGCACAATAGATGGCAAAAGAAGAAGGGGACGGCAGAGGATGAGGTGGCTAGATGGAGTCACTGAAGCGGTTGGTGTGAGCTTGGGTGGACTCTGGGGGATGGTGGAGGACAGGAGGGCCTGGAGGAATGTTGTCCATGGGGTTGCGATGGGTCGGACATGACTTCGCGACTAACAACAACAAGCTACCTTAAGGGATGCATATCGATTAGAAAGGAGAAGTAAATATATCCATATCACTATCCATATATAGACTTATCTGCCTTTTCCAAGGATGCTTGGAACCATAGGATGTGCTATGCAAACATGTCCTAAATGAGGTGTGTTTTCCTGCATTTTGTTTCATTGATAAGCAATTAAAAGTAAAAGAAATGTTTTTTTCACTTTTTTATCAACTTGAAACTGAAACATTGGGGTAGCGTTTGGACTGTAGTCCACTTAATGAACCACAGGATCCATAGCTTACATCATTACTGCTTAAACATCAAGTTCATTAGAAGCATCCCTTGTGTGTTGTAAAGCAGTATTTCTCAGACTGCAAGAGCTAATTTAACAGACCAGTGGCTCCAAACAAGAAAATCAATATTTATTTTTATTTCTTACAAGTGTGTCAGATGGATTTTATTTTCGCTGTTTACTGAAGAAAGTATAGATAAGTACTGTATCTAACTCTGAACTAACATTTTAGCAGGAGAGACAACCTTTAATGAATATATTTTTATTGCAGGTCTGTGAGTCCAGCAAGGGCTTCCAGTTCATTTGAACCTAATCATGTTCCTACTGCAACGCTCACTAAAAATCAAGTCAAAAAGTCACAAATTTTGAACATGGAAAAGGTGAGGTCTTACACTAGCTTAGTGCCATCAGTAAAATCCAATCTATGTTTCCCACATGCCTTAATCATTGTCATATGGAGTGATATCACACAAAAGTGAAATTTCAGAATATAGCTTATGAATGGGCAAAACAGAAGAACTACAGCCTAAGCCTAAAAATGCACTTTGGCTTCCAGTTTCTAGACAGATGGAAACTTCAAATCGTGAGAAGAAATATATACATTTTTTCTTTGGATTGCAGCCAACCATCTCAGACAGGAACAATGTTTTCCAAACATCTGAGGTTGGGTGTTTGAATATGCTTCTGGAAGTTGTTAATTGGTTGTTCTTTGGCTTCAGAAAAGGTAAAGTGAATATATTAAAAAGGAAATAACAGCCAGTTCAAAACAACCTTGAAAGCAGCAATATATGCATCCATTAATTATAAGATATGTCTGAGAAGAAGTATATGAGCACAATCCAGCCAAAGCAAAGTATTTTAGGTATCACTGAATTCAGTGAGAGAGTTAATCTTGTCTGCATTCTCTCCCTTTCTCTCTCTCTCCCATTCTCCTTCTTTTTCTGAAATTGATAGAACCTGAAAATGCTTAACTTTGCTTGAATCATGTCCAGTGTGCTTAAACGGCAATTGATTTCTTTACTGTTGCTTTGTGGGTAACCAGAGAAATGGTTCGCAAAGATTGCTGCAATATCAGACAGGTGACATTGGTAAGCCTGTGAAGACCCAGGACATCCCACGGTTGAGCCCACCAGAGCATGTTTTGTCATCCCACTTTGCGCTACCTTCTCCACACTCTGTTCCCAGAAAGTTGCTGCCTACCAACCCTTCCTCCAGAAAGGATCAGGTAGGTTATTTTCCTTTTGTTTCTGTGATACTTGCACAGTCCATAGGCTCTAGCAGAATGGGATTGCTAGGTATTCAAATGTACCTTTCCATCTTGCTTTCGCTTGAGGCATTTCTTTGTTGATTGAATGTATGCAGATAAGTTAAAATAAAAGGCCACACAAACCAGCATGTCTTCTTGCAATCTTAGTGTGATGTAATTATTTGCAGCAACTTACCAATGTATCTGCTTAAGAAGTACTTATAATCCTAAATATATGAATTTCCCTCTCCTCTTCCAATAAGAACTCCCTTCCTGTGGAAAGCTAGCATGAAAGGGAGCTGGCCTAGCCTATTCTGGGAGGTGATCATTTTGTGGAGGAGGTGGAGAAGAATAGGAGGGAGGAAAGCTTTACCTCATGCCGTTTATAGACTTCCCCAATTGACCTTCGTTATTACCTTTCCTCTCACTCCTTTTCCCTTATACAAAGAGTTCTTTTTCTGTACCCTATTATTTTGTGACGCATCCTTTCTCATACATCCTTCTTTCCTCAGTGCCTTTTCTTCCCTACCTTTCTGTTCCTTGCTACTCACTCTTTCCTCAGGGGTCCTATGACTAGGCACTCTTTACCTCCCCACCCCCCACTTCATTTCTTTTACAAAACTGGAATCTATTGTTAAGAGTTTTGTTCATTGAGGTCCCATGGCATTATCACTGAACAGAGTCTTTCCTGCAAATAAGAGGGGAATGTCAAACAGGTAAGTTGAACTAGTAAGCCAGAAGGTTCAGAGAGCCTCGCATCAGAGTGACACTTGAATTGTATAATCTCTGTCTTCTGTAAGTACTGATTATAGTTTATGTATTTTACATCTCCAACCCTAGTAAGTTGAGTGAGCCCATTGAAATGAAGATCTGTGTCCTGCATTTGCCACAACCTTTTGTTCTGCTGTCTCAAGGTTTAAATATGATATTGCATCACAACAAATGCAAACAGAAAAGCAGGCAAGTGAAACTACTTTGCATCACTAGTCACTACATGAAGTTCAGTAGAGTAATTAAACTAATACCCAGTTTCATGAATGTTTTTATGAGGGTTTTGAGGTGCTTGTTAATGTCAAAGCAATTGTGAGAATTAGCAATCTGAATTACTTGATAGCTCAGGCAAATAGAGTTACTTATCAGTTTCTCTGTTGTCTGTTTTTCTTACTAAAATTGCCCATCTGAGCTACTGTTTACCTTCTGCCCTGCAGAGAAATTAATAAAATCCCCATCTATTCCTCAGCCATGCAGTCCAGTCTCCAACTACCCCGAGCAGTTTTGGAATTTTAAAAAATCAGGGAAAATATACACACAACTGAGCTTGACCATCTGTCTTTGGAACTGCTTGGATTCTAAGATATTCTGGAGAGGTCCTTTTCTTGATCTCACTACCCTCACAGGCATACTTGGTAGAATATGTGACAGAGCCTTCTCAGTGGCTGCCCCAAGGCTCTGTGATTCTCTTCCTAGGTTGGCATTCTCCCATTTAGGTTCCTGAAAGCAGGAAAACCCTTTTTGCTCCAGCAGGCATTCGGGATGGTCCGGGGCTGTGATTTTGCACTGGACTATGCTTATTGTCTTTATTGTTTGTAGTGTTTTTAATCTGGATATCTTGTGCAATTTTAATATTTAACCAATTAAATTATATTTTAACTGGGATATATTTTTGAACGTTTTAATAGTATAAGTTTTTTAATGTTGTGAGCCTCCTTGAGTCTTAGTTACTGGGAATAGGTGAGATCTAAATAAATATAATTAAAACATTAATAACAAACCAACTTCAACAAAGGCTAACCAGATAGCCGTATATGTTATCGATTCACAAGTACCATTAATACAGCATCCACTGAAATGTGAAAAGTGTTTAACATTTAATCCATGGCAAAATAGTGCTGAGCTTTTATCCATCCATTGTTGTAATAGCAGTCTTTAGCTATCTAAAGTGCAGAGAAAACCTATTTGTTCTGACCATGCATTAAGTTCCATGAGAGTGGTACATTAAAAGGACATGCCCATCAGTAAATATCAGAATATTCTAATGAAAAATTTAGTCATATAATAACCTCCTTCCCAAAGGAGGCAGTTATTCAGCACTGTCAAAGCTATGGTTAAACGCAACGTTAACTATATCTCCAGCAAGTCTGCTGAATAAGACATGACCTGAGATCCATAGCTGCTTTAGATACAGATGCTAAAGTGACAATTCACTGATTAGGGAAAATAGGAGAATACAGTTTCCTGTTGCATTCCCACTTAAGACCCTGTATATTTATCCACTGATAATAAATATTAAGAAGCAAGGCTTAATGGGCCAGTATAACTGACCAGTTATAAAAGTGTCAGGGCCAAACACAGATTCTAACACATGTTGTAGTTGCAAGTATTGCCATTCAGCTGTATCAGGTAAATTGTATTTGGTACACAAAAAGTTGAGAATAACAAGCTCATTAATCCAAGCACCCACTAATTGATCTAAAGTAAAACAACTGCAACAGTTTTGTATCTAAAACTGCAACAAAAATAGTATCTTATCAGTTTTAAAATCTAGTTTTCCCTATTGAGTCAATTTACCAGGCAGAAATAGATGATAATGACGATGAAGAAGAAGAAGAAGAAATTTCATTTATATCTCTTATAGTTTTTTTCCCTCTTGTCTGGAACAGGACAGCTTACATAGCTCCATTTTCTCCTCACAGCAATGACCCTATGAGATGGGTTAGGCTGAGAGTGAGTGACTGGTTTAAAGACACCCAGTGAGCTTCATGGCTGAGTGGGGACTAGAACCTGGATCTCCCAGGTCTGCCATGCAGAACTCTAACCACCACAACCCACTGGTTGTCAGTATAATTGATATGACATTCTATGCCACCCATCTTTTAACAGCTGTAACTATGAGAGAAGTCCTGTCTAGTTTACTGTGCTGAGAAACTAATATTATCCATTTGGAGAGAAGATCTAGATAAGGAGCTTCCAAACCTGACCAAGTGGAAAATCTAATCTAAGTGGAAAAGACCAAATTTAGTACAGGTCAATAAACAGGCCCAATGATAAAAAGCAAGGTCTGGAAACCCTCACTCAGATTTCTTCTTTAATTGGAGCTGTATCCTTTTCAAGGACATTCATAATGTGGAAGAACCCAAAATGTACAAAAGTGATCAATGAGTTATTGAAAGTATTTGTCAAGTATGGATAGAGGAATTGCACATATTTAACAATCTAAGGTAAATACTCACCTTAAGTATATTTACCTAATCCTACAAGCTCAACTTTAAAGACAGCAATATCTGTAATGTGATCAGGAGGGAAGGCCACATCAAAGGTGCCCTGTTGCCTAGCCTCCATGCAAGACCCACAAAGAAAGTAAGCTTGCTCACCAGGTTTCTTGATTGCTACTCACAGTTGCCTGTCACTGCCACGCTTTGCAGAGGGCGTAATTCGTGCCCTGGCCTAAACTCTTCCTCCTCCCCAGACCTAGGATAAGGAACGACATTGTAACTGGTGTGACAGTGAAGTTTGCCTCCCATGTGCTGGTTTTCCCCTCACAGCTCTCCTTGAGCTGTCTGCGCCTCTGGACTGTGCAACAGGCAAGGCCAGCCTGTTCCTGCCTTCCTCACCTGAAGCCCCTCTTTCCGCATTTTTGCTTCCTTCCCCTTTCTCCACATCTCCCGCCTCCTCCTCTTTCAATGCCCTCCTTTTGACGCTGCCTCCTTTACTCCCCCATCTCCACTGCTTTCTGCCACCCCAGCTGTTCCTGCCCTGGCTGATAGTCCTGCGCAGCTACACACACACCCATGTGTCCCATCCCAGCAATCAGAGGCCCATGCCTTGTTCTGCCTGAGAAAATTCCTGGCCAGCTGCCATCGCCATCAGTCCCTCTCTTCTAGACACCAAGGGAAGATGAGTGAGCCCCTCTACCTCTTCACAATATCCCATGAGATTTCCTTAATCAGCTCATAAAAATTATATTCATAAATTGAGAAATGTCTCTGGGAATAAATATTCTAAAATAAGTAAAAAAGATTTGTGCACCACTGAAATTTCCAATAAGCTCCCATGCTGTGAGATATGGCATCTCTAACTGGCATTAGTTCAGACTTTGAGGACTCACCTTTGTCCATGGCTCTTTCTGTCTCCTCACCTGTTTTGAGGACCGAAAGTAGCAAAGCAATGTCCTCCTGTCTTGAATTCTCCTTCCTGCATTGGTGGAGAAAATGCAAGGAAGAAGTAAATCCCCCTCTGTCTCGTGGGGGCTACTCCTTAGTCACCGTGTAAATGTGTAACCTAGCAGCATGGGTTTTAAAGTCCACAACAGATTCCCATTCTCTCTCCTGCCAGCATGCCATGTTCTATTTGTATTAATAGGTAATATGCCACACAGCACTCTGCTGTTCTGAGGCATCGCATTCTATCCATCTGGATTTAGGCTTGAAAGACCAAAGAAAACTGTGGTTGCATGGAGGGCAAGTTTCAAGCAAGCACAATTTAGAACATTGCAGAGCTCTGCCCTGAAAGCAAGCAAGGGGTTATTTAGCTTACCTGCTATAAAATTTAAATTGTTCTATTTCTGATTATGCATATATATTTGCATATATAAATAGTTTGTGCAAATTTGTGGACCTTAGCCTCAATTTTTTTAGGTACTTCAAAACCATACCTGTTATCTAGTACCTCTCTCACATGAAAAGAAATCAAAGAGGCCATTGATCAGAACACTGGCTTGTGGGGATGAATATAGAATTCTGTCCCCTTTCAAAAATTCTGCCTGAAAGCTGAAATTACTCAACACAGGGAAAATAAATTTCCAATGAATTTTATCACAGGTCTTTTCAGTATCCAAAGGAACAGTGGTGGTGTAGTATGTTCTGTATATACAGTTAGCAGATCAACTAACCTAAAATTATCAGCCCCCTGTCGCTGTTCAATAAAGCCCACCTGACCTGCTTGAACCAGTGTTGCGGTAACTCATTGCAAGCTATCAGCCA